TTGACTCATTGAATTTGTACTTGATTTTTCACCACACGAATCTAGGTGGTTGTAACCATGCATGATGGTGCATCTAGGTTGTTGTTAACAACTGCGTAGTTTTTTTTTTTATTATTTCTTTTAATACAAAGATTTACAGGTAAAGATTAGGTTCGTCTTCTCTCGATATTGTAGTAACCTAATTCATTAAAATGAAGAAAAATAAGAAAATTTATTATCAACAAAAAATCTATCTCTTGGTGGTTGTCGATTAAATGTCCTAACTTAATTTGATGGTAGGTTGTAGCTTATTATACAAAATGATTAATCTTAAATTAAGCTCACCAGGTCATTAATAGTTTATAATATAACTTGATGGGAGTATAACACATCATACAAATTCAAGCTAAGTGTGACTCTATCTTAAAATTGATCAATAACTCTATGTCCGATCCTTAAAATAGTTCTACAAACGCATAGTATTTGTAAGTTAAACCAACTTATAATTTAATGATGATATTTTGGGAATCAAATAATAAGGCAATGTGTAGTAATTTTAGGGTTTGCAATAAGATAATGTAAAATTGTAGAGGATGTCAATAAGGCAAGCCTAGTAATTTTAGGGTTTTGCAATAAGAAATTGTAAATTGTAGAGGATAACTTATAACTTATAATTTCTTACATCAACAATTTTTCTCATCTTTATCTAACTTCACAATCACATATTTTGTCCCATTTCATTCCTATCCACACCAAAATTTTATTTATTTATTTATTTATTTTATCAATGTATTGTTGTCTAATTAAAAAAAAATGAAATTATACACATATGATTTAATACAGTAATACAGCTTTGGCTTTAATAATAAAGTTGGTAGAGTCAATCTTCTCGGTTCTCAATCATGGTATTAATTTGAATTATATATAGTGGTGGTTGCAATTTTTTGCATTTCTAGAAGCTGAAATTATGAAAGCGCTTTCCAGGTATGTTGATCATGGGTCATCCCACTAATTCTCTTCAATAACAAAATATCTTGTTATTATAAACAATAAAAATAAATTTAGTGTTACTTTACATTGATTTTGTTGTGATGGATGGATGAAAGAAATATTAATGAATAATAGAAAGTAACTAACACATATATGAAGTATACAAGTATATGATAAGAAAATTTATTGATTTTAAGGAGTACAAGTTATAGAATTAGACTAGTTAAAACTCATGGATGTTACTTGTACATAGTACTCCGTACTCCACTACTCTAGTACTCCCTATACAGAACGGAATAAACCCAACCCGGCCCAAAAGGCTTAAACAAGAAATCGTAGCCCAATGTGGTAGATAATGTTAGTTTCAAGGGCATTGTTCCCGATCTCCAAATTAGGGCGTGTCGTCCTGGCCCTAGACCCCGATTGTTGGGGTGTTCGTACTGGAAAAACAAATTCAAGTCATATATTAAGGTGCGTATTTTGCTAGTGCAAAAATTCCATCATTTTCAGCATAATTTTCTCTTAAATAATATAGAATAACTCCCAAAGAAGGTTCTTACTTCACAGTATGGATTATTATTACGTACCAATTAACTGTTGGTACAGTGGTGATTGAGACTTCATTTGATAGGGAGGACTGTGTGTTTGATCCCCTACAGCAACAATTGAAAAGAGACTGAAACCTAACCATCCACAACTAATCTCCAAATCCGAATTACCCAAATGGTAAATCGAGTGGAACAAAAAAAAAAAAAAAAAAAAAACAGTATGGAGTATTAGTTAAGCTTCTTTTTCATGTTTCTTTCGGTTGTTTTTGTGGTATAATCCCACCCATGATGGCATGATATGATGTCAAAGGGTTTAATATTGCTCTCATATTACTTTATGTTTTCACTCCTTGGCTTGTTTTAAATATAAAAATTAATAATAGTGTGGAGCAGCATGAAACTCTTGTAATAGCAGCCCCAAGCCGACAACAAATGGAAAACAAAAATAAAATAAAATAAAGAAAATTTTGAATAATTATATGAAAATTAAATCCGGAGTACACATCTTTTATGTTCGAGTGTTCGACATACCCCGTATATGGCCCTACGATAATGGGTATACAATAAGTGAAGTGTATTAGGACATGCAATATAACCTAGCATGATTGGTGGAAGGGTGACCGAAAAAAAAACACCACCTCCAAAAAAAATCAAGAAATAAAGAAAAAACTTAATACTCCACACTAGGGGTGACATGGTCTGGTTTGGTATGGTTTGAGCCCAAACTAAACCAAATCACAAAATAACGATTTGGTCAATTTTTCAAACCAAGCCAAACCATATTAGTATTGAAATTGGACCAAACCAAATCGTAATAATATGATTTGGTGCAGCTTGGTTAGCCATTTATAATGAAATGCCATTTTTCCTTAAAAATTGTCAAATAATACTTGATTAACTTATAATAAAGTTTAATAATTAGGCTAAGTAGATTAAATTGCATTACAAATTTACAATAAAAATAACAATCCAAGTCCTAACACATAATACAATAACAATCAATAGATCATCATAAATTCACAATACATTATAGTCATTATTATAATTAATACATATGTATAATTTGCAGCAACAAATTAGCAGCAACATGACAAGATTGATAACATCAGGGGCTCACAGTAGGCCAGCAGTATTTATTTAAAAATTATACAAATATTAAAATACGGTTTACAGGTTTACGGTTTGATTTGATTTATAACTTTTGAAAAAACAAACCAAACTGTAAATCGTATTTACAAAAAAATCGAAACCAAACCATATATTTACAAACCGTAAACCAAACCAAACCAAACCACTAAAATGCAGTTTGGTCCAGTTTGGTTAGGGATTCAGACCAAACTGTGTACAGTCCTACTCCACAAGCAGTATTTGCATGTTTGAAGCATTTTTTTATTAATTTTTTTCTATGAAAAAAAGATAACGATAAAAGATTGATAGTTTAGTTGTGTTTTTTCTTGTTCTTTAATTATCATTCAAACATCCTAGATTTTAATCAAATTGACTTTGTTCTGCATTATATTTCGTGTTTGCTCTCCGATCCATTATTGGATCTTCTTCGTTGTTTTGAAGGAAAATGATCGAGTTGCAAGCATCAACTAGGTTCTTACCATGTTACTTGGTTCGTATGCGGTGCAAGGGTGTCCATTCTTCGCTTACATCCTATACCCATGGCAAAGATAATGGCATGACATCGACCTAACTAGTCCGCAATTCCGCATGAATAATTACGAGTCCCTTGTACTTATTTTCACAATATTATTTACAAAAAAATATTAATGGTTCCCTCTTTTACATAGTATAGTATACGTAGACACTTCGTATATTATTATAAAGTCTTCTTGATTCATCTTTAATTATGAGTTGGAGGAATTCTATATGATTTAAATCGAGACCCTTCTTTTGAGTTCTAGATGATGACACAAGTACAAAAGTTGTGATTTATTTCTTCCAACCTTGAATGCTACTCTTAACCCTCTTAACCTTGAATGCATGATTTAGCTTCTTTTCTTTGATTTAAGGGTAACCCTCTTAACTAAAGCATGTTATAAAGTTGTTAGGCTTTTGTATGTAAATTTTTAAGGTAAGCCGGTCTATTTTGCTTTATGACGTTCTCTTACGGGTGTTTATATAATTGAAATTTATATTTGAACAAAAAATTATCCCTATATTCAACAATAATTAAGCAAGCAAAGATCACATATATATTTGATTCTAATTTTTAAAGTTAGATTAGATTTTCCAATTTACCTCCGCCGCCCACTGAATTTTTACACAGTATATAATTTTTTTTTTAAGAAAGAAAAAAGAAAAAAGAAAAAAAAAAAGGATCCATCTCTAGCTTTTTTAGGGGCGTTTGGTTCGCAGAGTGGTATGAGTTTGGAATCAGGAATGGGGTTAAGGCGATATCGGGTTGGAACTTGATACTTAATACCATGTGTTTGGTTCATTTCTAAAATGAAATCTTTCACTATTCACTCCTTTTGTTTGATACCTAAGGAAAGGGAATGAGCCAAACCCATCTCCCTCAAAGGTTTTTAAACCCCATACCTCATGGGTTTGAGATATGGGTTTAAAATTCATACTTTTGACAACTAAACATATGGTATGGGTATTAGTCATTCTAAACTCATACCTCATACCTATATTCCGCAAACCAAACGGCCTTCAGAAAGAAAAAGAAAAGAAAAGAAAAAAAAAAGTGAAGGCTATACTACAAATACTTTGAATCGATAAGATACCTCGAAAATTGAAATGATGCAAATACTTTGCGACAGAAAGAGTTGGTGAGTGAAATTTAGGTGCACAATGTGAAATTGGAATAGATTTGGGCTGAGGTTATGGACTTTGAGATCGAGCATACATGGATACTTGGTGCAGAAAAGTTTCATGGCGTTAGGTAGAACAAATTAAAGCAATTACTTGGCTTCTCATTCTCACACAATTGCACTACTTGCTTAAACATACCTTTTGGTTTCAATGAAAAAGCACTACCAATTTTCTTGTATGGTATCAAATTTATCAAGTACGAGCGAGTATCTTTTAAAACGTTTCATGTGTTCAAGTAATAGATTATTTGATGGTATATATAGTAACATGTTTAACACTTAAATTTTTATATCCACTAACGTAAAAATGATGTTGAAAAGAAATGATGATTTGTTAAATTGTTGTCACGAAATTTCAAAGTACGTAAAAAGTCTTAAACGATAAATTGATTAGAAATCACGATCATGATAAATTTATTAATTAATCTTGACCTATTCAAGCTAAGCTCGTTAAGATAAAGTCATTAGACAAGGAGGTTTGATCTTGATCTGTATTTTATTAGAAGAAAAAATATAATTATTAGCATCATATTTATGAATATACATGCTAAGGGAATTGCCTTGTTCAATTGGCAAGGTTAATGATCAAACAAAAATTGATAAATGAAAATTATAAATAATTCATCACAATAAATTTGAACCAAGAAATTGCGTGCATACTTTAATTTGAATACATACTAGTAGTAGAAAGGATACTCAAATTAAGATTAATTATTCCAATAACATATCACTTTAAACAATCTTCTATTTCACAACCAAAACTAAAAGCTGATAAAATCTGTGTTCATCTAACAAAACATAAAATTTGCAATACTAAAATAAGATAATCTAGAAATAAACATTCAACACCTTCAACATATCATGTCCATACTTCCATAATATCATAGCCATTTCATCATTATGACCATCATCATCATCATCAGCACCATCACTATCATCATCAAGGGAGGAAAGCATTATTATTGGACCACAAAGATGGATTATCAATAGCATGCCCATTGTATTCACCAAATTGACCCATCATCATTGTCATCATATTTGCATTATTAATGTTATTACTAGTATTACTACTAGTACTAGCACCACCATTTGTTACACCACATAACCCATTACCCATTGACATACCATGATGATTATGATGTTGAGGAAGTGGAGGAGGAGGTTGATGATCAAATGTCATTGGCGGACCCATCATATCCATGAATGATGACCATTGTTGCATATCGAGATCATCTCCTTGTCCTTGTGAACACTCGCCCTCCATTTTTGTTTTTGTTTTAGGGTGCATCGTATGCTGATATGGTGGTAAGCCTACCCCCAAGTGAGTATTAACATTATTGCTATTGTTATTATTGTTTTTATTAGGGCGGAGATTTTCTTTTTAAAAAACATCAACCCTCTTGTTAATATCACCTAAATGTTGATTAATCACCCAACTAAGATCACTTAAGTCTAATAAACTCATATTTTGTATGCTCTTACCAGTCAAACATTGGTACATAACTTGAGTCATGTCTTTTTCTTTATTATCCTTTTGTTGCTTCTTAAGTTGCTCATGTGCCTTAGCCACCCTTTGCCTTAAAAACTCCTCTTGGCTCACCATCTTCTTCACCTTCTCCATCTCCGGCAGCCTCTTGAAGCTCGCAATCACGTCTTTGGCCCCGGATGGTGTAGGCCACACCACTGGTCGGACCTCGTACGGGCTATAGAGGATGGCACAAGCCTTGACATCACATAGGGTTGTCAGCTCGTCCATCTTCTTCAATAGGCCTCGCTTTCTCTTCTTGTAGGTTGCCTTTCGGGCCGAGTCATTGGCGATGAAGGCTAGCTTGACCTTCTTCCTTGTCATTGTATTAGAGAGGAGAAAAAACAAGAAGAAATGGGGTTTTTTTTTTTTGTGTGTGTGTGTGTGTGTTTTCTCCTAAATAAGTAAGGGGTTTATATACACATTTTTGACAAGGGAAACTAATTTATGACAAGATTATGATTATAATTACAATTATATACCACATTATTTGTGTCATTAAAGTAGAAAATGCATTATGATAGCTGGATGAAGATATTCAAATGTATCATCAAAGATAATTTTTTAGGTTAACTGCATGGTTTGCTACTAGGATAAGTTTGGGTTTAATAGTTATAATTAGGAAAATATTTTGATTATCATAAGAAAAAGGAAAGAGATCTTTTTATATAATTAATTTGTTGATTTGTTAGCATTGATTATGTATGAAATATTTTAAAGCCATTGTCTCTAGACAAGGATAATAATGCTGTGTAGATTTCAAATTGAAACACATGTAATATGTAATTATAAGGTAGTTAATCAATTTGATATGGAAAATATTTAGTCAAATTGTTTTCTTTCTTAGCTCATATATGAAAAAAACACATGTGTTATATTTTTCTGTGCAAAAAAATTTAAAAAAAAAAAAAAAAAAAAAAAAAAAAAAAAAAAAAAAAAACTAATATGATTCGAACTTGGGACAAGAAGATGTGGTATCTTATATATAATTGCTCAATTCTGAATTAGTTGACACGTTTTGACTTTTGATATTATTCACAAACTCTGGTTTGATTATCTTTTGTGATTTATAGATATGTCAAAATAAAAAAAAATAAAAAAATAACATAGTTATGTAGGATTGTGTTATATTCCTCTGATGAAGAATATGTATTTTCAAATATTGATTTTTTATTTTTTATTTTTTAATAATTAGAGATATTCAAGGTTGAACTAATGCATTGACAAACGTCATTAAAAAAATATGTCAACTAATTTGAAAGAAGTACATGTCTTACAATGATAAATGAATCATGCATTGCTACTATCATGAAGCATAGAATGAGTACGTATCAGTATGATTTTTCTAGTATCTTGGTAATGAATTGCAATTAAATAATTTTAAAATTATTTGTTAAATCTTTAAAATTAACTCTCATTATCCCATAATAAAGAGTATAATTGATTTTAATTAACACGAATTTAAGAATAATTGGTGATTGTATGAATATTAATTAAATAGAAAATATTAAAATAAGGATAGTGTTTGAGTTTTTGTTAAAGATAATCGGTACACGATTGTTTATGGTCTCTCTATTCAAAAAAGTAGCTTGGTTTGCTTGAGTAATAAAATCAATAATGCAATGGAGAAAAATAAAATGTAAACCATGAACTATGTACTTTATTATACAGGTTGGGAGGAACTTTATCTATAATCACCATGAAAAAAAAAATTCTAGGAAATTTGGCATATTAGGTCTAGTGAAAATACAATATAAATGCCAACTAATTAGTATAATTTGTTAGGATTACAGTGATTTCAATTAAGAAAACACTTAAAAAATGTGTGGGATCAAATTCTAAAGTGTAAAATTACAAGACAATTGTAAAATATCAAATACAACACAACGTATTACAATCAAGTATAAGAAATATCTAAATATTACAGAAATTCACAAAGATAACACTAGTGTAACGATGATCAAACTTTCCTTTTCTCCAAGCTGACAACAACCCACATGAACATGAGAATAAAGATGTCCCGTAAGACTCAAACCTTGATTCACTGTCAAAGGCGTGTATACACTTTCCTAAAGAGGTTTATTTCCCCCCACACGGTGCTTGGGTTAAACCGGAAATCCTCTTTGAGATACAATTGACATCAAATTTCGTTCTTAGCACTAGAATCGAAATACGATGAACAATTCACAAATTTGGCTAAATTTCTAGAATTTTCTCACAAAAGTTTGCAAGAAGTTTGTGAGAAAAGATGTGGAGAATACTTTTTGGGAGAGAAAAACTGAAAAAAAACTGTCTATTTCACATTCCTTCTCTTCTCTTTAAAATAAAAAGAATCGAAAGAATAACCGCAATTCCCCAAGGGCCGCGGGCGTGGCAGCCCAACCCGCGGTCGACGATAGAGTGAATTACGATTCACTCACAGTTTCTGGAGATGGCTGGCCGCGGGCTTGGAGAGGGCGCGGCCCACCCACCGCGGGTGCGATCCCTTTTCTCCACATACACTCTAAATATCTAACAATCCTCCCCCATTTAGAGTGTATTCTTATAAAATTTCTCCACTACTATCAATTTAGCCACATCTCATGCATCAATGCCAATGTCCCAACGGATTGAATTGACACCTAGTACAACACACTTAACGATGATCATATTCCATGATTTCCATATGGATTGAATCACACGAATATATCCAACCATTCAAAGGTGAAGTACACATAAGACAAATCGAAATGATCATCACTTGACACTTTAAAACAGCCATGTGTCCGTATCTTTCATAAGTTCATCAAAGTCTATATGTCCATCTAGACTTCTTGAAGCGCCTTAACTTCAAACTTATATAGGTAGGTTCTCATATACGTAATAGTGCCCTTGTGATGAGACACCTTCATTTAGAGCTTCTCAACTCTAAATCTTTGAGAACTTTAAATAGACACTACCTTACATATCACAAGTAATAACATAGCAATATGGATCATCAAACATTGCTAACAAACAACAAAAATGCAATTCAACCACATTGAATCTAAGACTTGATGTTTCTTCAAGCATTAGATTGGGTTTCACAAATTCGTGTTTTCGGACATAAATCCATTCCACTCATAGCAAATATGATGGAATGCCTTGGCATTGCCTTTGTAAAGCAATCCGCCAAATTCAATTTTGTTGGAACATAGTCAAGACTTATGACCCCATCATTGATAAGCTCTTTCACTAGGCTATGCCTAAGTGAAATATGATGAGAATTACCATTATACACTTAACTATATGCCTTTATTAAAGCCGAATTTGAATCACAATGAATAGCCACCGGTGACATAGGCTTTGGCAATGGCAACTCAAACATGAGATTTCTTAACTATTCTGCTTCCTTACTAGCTGAAACAAGAGCAATAAACTCAGCTGCTATAGTGGAATCGGCAATACAAGTTTGTTTCTTGGAAGACCATGAAATGACACCACCCCCAAACATGAACACCCAACCACTGACAGAAGAGTTATCCTCTTTATAAGTTATCCAACTTGCATCCGAATATCCTTCTAAAACCGAAGGGAATCCACTATAAGTCAAACCATAATCCAACATACCCTTGAGGTACCTCAAGACCCTCCGAATTGCAAACCAATGTTGTACACCCGGGTTACTAGTAAATCTACTAAGTTTCCCTACAGCCAATGCAATATTCGGTCTTGTACTTGTCATGACATACATTAAGGATCCAATTATACTTGAATATTCCAGTTGGGAAACCGTTTTCCCCGAATTCTTAACTAATTTAACATTAGGTTCCATGGGGGTATTTACAGGACTCTTATCAAACATATTAAACCGTTTGATCATCTTCTCAATATAATGAGATTGACTCAAAATAAATCTTCCATTGTCCCTAATAATTTTGATGCCCAAAATGACATCTGCCTCCCACAAATCCTTCATCTGAAAAGATGAGGATAAGAACTCCTTGGTCAATTCTACTTGTTGTAGACTTGTACCAAAAATAAGCATATCATCAACATATAGACAAATGATAACACCATGACCTTTGTCATCAAATTTGCTATATATACACCTATCTGCTTGATTCACTTTGAATCCAAAGGATAAAATCGTGTCATCAAACCACTGCTTTGGTGCTTGTTTAAGTCCATACAATGACTTAACCAATTTACACACCTTATTTTCCTGTCCTTCCAAAACAAACTCTTCGGGTTGCTTCATATACACTTCTTCCTCTAAATCTCCATAAAGGAATGTCGTCTTGACATCCATTTGATGAATCACTAGATTATATATCAAAGCCATTGCAATCAATAACCTTATGGAGGTAATTCTTGCAACTGGTGCATAGGTATCGAAATAATCAACACCATGCTTTTGCCAAAAGCCTTGGATAACCAATCTGGCTTTAAATTTCACTATGGAGCCATCCGGTCTCCTTTTCCTAGTGAAAATCCACTTGCAACCAAGAGGTTTGCAACCGGGAGGTAAATCCTCTAAGACCCAAGTATTATTTCCCATGATGTAATCCATCTCATCATTTATTTCCTTTCAAAAAGCACTATCTTGAGAAGTTATGGCATCGCTATAAGTCTTTGGGTCACTATCCACATTGAAACAATATGGAGTAATAGAACTAAGGACATCCCTAGAACCTTCAACTAAATAAATAATAAAGTCATCGCCAAAGTTCTTAGGTCTTCTTTCCCTAGTACTTCTCCTAACTTGAGGAGTTTCAACATTCTCATTATTGAATGTTTCTTCATGAGGTTCAAGTTGACCATTCAACTCCACTATCACCCTATCATTGGCACTTATTTGTAGATCTTTTGGTCTACTCATTGAAGAAAATCGGTTTTCATCAAAAATTGCATCTCTTGACTCAATAACTGAATGTATCGACATATAGTCATTTTGTTCTATTACATAGAACCTATAGGTTTTGCTGTGCTCAGCATAACCTATAAAAATGCATTCCAAGCCCCTTTCACCGAGCTTTCTTTTCTTGTTGCCGGGCACTCTTACGATTGCCCTACAACTCTAAACCTTGAAATAATTCAAATTTGGATTTCTTTTGTACCAAATTTCATAAGGATTAGATTGTTTTCCCTTAGTGGGAACCCGGTTAAGAATGTGACAAGCTATCAACATTACTTCACCCCAGAACCCTTCACTCAAACCAGAGTAAGATAACACGGAATTAACCATTTCTTCAAGAGTTCTGTTTTTCCTTTTAGCTACACCATTTTATTGTGGTGCATAACCCGTTGTAGTCTCATGAATTATCCCCAAAGATTGAAAATAAGTTGGATCATAATATTCTCCTCCCTTATTAGTTCTTATTCTCTTAATTAATGATTCTACTTGCAGTTCTACTTCCCTTTTATAAATATCAAACTTTATTAAAGCTTCATCTTTGGAGTGTAAAAGATACACATAGCAAAACCTAGAATAATCATCTATAAACGTAATCATGTATCTTTTATTCCCCAAAGAAGGAGTACTATGAAAATCACACAAGTCACTATGGATCAGTTCTAAAATATTAGAACTTATCTCAACTTTTTTAAAAGGAGTTCTAGTGATCTTGTTCAACATGTAAGTAGAACATTTACTAGGAGAAATATCACAAAGGTATCAATTCTTTCTTTGACATGAGAAACAATTTATTATAATTCACATGTCCTAACCTTGAATGCCATAAATCAAACATATTCAAACCAACACAACTATCATTGTCATCAACATTCAAACACAAATTATCCAATACACCACGCTCTTTCAATGAGAGCTTAAACAAACCATTATCCAAATAACAACGACCTATGAATGTTACACCCCTAGTAATTATGCATCTATTAGCTTCAAATACAAGTTTATAGCCAAGACTATTCAGGGTAGGCCCAGATACAAGATTCCTACTAATTTCCAGAGCACACAAAACATTCCTAAGAATAATTGCAGTCTCCGAACTAAACACAAGCTCAACTTGTCCTCTTCCAAGA